TGATTAATTAGGTAAATATCTTATTTCTGTTTTTACCGGTGTACGGTTAATTTCAAGAAAACTGGTGCACATTCCTCTGTCAGGATTTAGAATGCAGCTCTGTATTAAAGCACAGTTGGGAAACTACAGTCCCGAGGCATCAACAAAGTTTATTACAGCAACAGAATTTACAATGCACCAATTGCTGGGCTGGTGACAGGCACCCCTCACTGAAAAACACCACATATTGAACACAGTGCCATTGTCTGATCTACATGTATGCACACATGAAGTGAAGAAACCGAATTCATAATTTATAGGAAGAAACTGAATTCACAACTTATGTGTTAAATTGTGCACAGCTCTGATATGATCTATGGGATCATGTCACTTAGTGGTGAAAAGTTCTTGAAACTTTAGTTGATGGAGGTGATACAAGCCAATTTCCACCAGGAACAGCTCTGCTAAACCCTGCTGTGCAAGAACTGTAAAACTGGTATTGAAGTGACATTGGAATGTGTGGACAGTTTGAGACCAATAGATGACACTCTATTTTTACTTCAGTTCTGCAGCTGCAGGCATTTCTACTTTCTTGCCTTGGAAGTTTTCAAATTTATGCAGCTTAATCTTCGGGAAAGATTGTAGTATTTAATCATACTGTTCCAAGACTGTTGAAGTAAATGACAAGATTCCTCACTTGCTCAAAAAATTTCTGGACTATGGCTGCAGCATTTTCATGTTTTACACCAGCTTACTTAACAGTAAAAAGTACAGAATTTGTTTTCAGAGCTAGTCACAATGTGCCTGCACCAGCACAAAAATAAAGACTGTACAGGACCCCCAGGAGCAAATGCTCTCAGTTTTCAAAGACCAGAGATCTCAGTCCCACTGCTCAGAGTCTGTGGGGAAAAGAATACCTAATTCCCATTAACAGTTTTGAAAACCTCTTTGTAGGAAGAAAGAGCAAACACAGAGAGAAGTGAAAGGAAAAAAATAAATAAGAACAGATGGCAATGGATCATGCCTGGTAATGTAGGACTTCATTTATACAGGAGCCTCTTAACCAATTCTGCAGTATAAATGTATTTCAACACAAATAATGGTAAGATTCACAGAATACATCTATTATATATTTTATCTGTAATTCTGCACTTCCATATTACAGTAAAATGTACTTTTAAAGGCACTTCTGCCTGACTTCCTTAATAATGCCAAGATCAATCTGAAAAGCTTTGTAGATATATATTAAATTCCTTTTAAGATTATTTTAAAATAATCACGTGGGTGTCCAAAAATGCTCTTGGCACCTGTATGTAAATTGCAATTAACTTAGGGTGACTTCATGGCTTGATTTTGTGAAAAAGAAGTTATTTGGGACTGTCCTGCTCTGTAGTAAAGTAATTGTAATATAACAGTCTTTTGTCGTTGTTTTACTAAAACACTTATATGAAGTTCCTGAAAAATAGCAATTTACTAAAAATCACTTGGAGCTTTGCTTATCTGTGGAATGTTCCTGCGTTTAAAATTAAAGTAAAAGCCTTATATATATGCATGCGTGGGTGTCTGCACATATATTTATGCATATGTATGTATATGTGGATATTTATATAACGAGAGATTTTACAGTTAGGTCTGACTCAAATAGCTTTAAATTTTTATTGGCTTTCTTCCTCACGTTTGAGACATTAATTTATAAAATAAAACAGTTTCAGGCACTGCTTTGAAGTATTACTAATCACAAAATGTTAGGCCTACACTCAGATGTAGCAGACTCTAAAATTCTTATGAGTCTCACCCTGGGTAAGTCTTTACGCTCTTTAAAAAACCTTTTTTCCATGTATTACTCTCATTCCCTGCTCTATTAGTAAAGGTATTCTACGTAATGTAAAACGACATATGTCATATGTCTAGAAATAATCCTCATGAAACTGAATCTTGGACTTGGTCAGACTGATAAATATCTGCAGTTATTTTGAATTTATAACGAAGAATTTAACTTAATGGTGGTGTACAAGTTCACGCAGAGCAACTTGCTGATAATCAAGCAGCTGAAGCATTTTTCTTTCTTGGTGGGAGCTCCATCATACATGCTTTAAGAGAAAATTAGGCCTGAAAGGTCCAACATTTTCACAAATAAAAGATCTTGCTCAGAACTAAACTTTTTGGGAGTTAGAAAGTTCAATGTTTTCCAAAATTTTCAGAGGAATGTGCATCTCCGAAATACAGCATACTTTCAATATGTTGTACTTCAGTGATCATAGTCTTTGGTTAAGAATAAATACCAGGCATGATCATCAGGTTTGCAAGAATGCTGTGTGCAGAGATGTCTAACCTTGCCTGTAAATGTAGATCACATTCAGCACGGAAGTTCAGAACTGGCTGAACAGACCTGGCTTATATATCACTGCTTTAGAGGTAAAACGATTGGTCTAACTGTCTTAATAAAATCTTAGTTCTTCTGGGGTAATGACTTATTAGTGTGGTCAAACCTGGTATCCAGGATATAACATCTAAGCTGAAACTTAGGTGGATTATTCATTGGCTTTATCAGATTTTTGAACCAGATCTCTAATAGAGGTACTCATAACACTTTTTTCAACACTTAAAAACCCTAAAAAATGCATTTTAAGCTCCTGCTGTTTTTGTATTTTGAAGAGCAGACAGACATTGCTAAAATGCATTTTAATTTTATGGAACATTGCTTTGGTAAAGATCTCATAAAATCGTATTTTAACAATGTGTTACAGGCCAAGTTATATTTTTCAATAGCACTTTTTAACTGAGCCACATAAACAAAACACAGAATTCCCAGGTAAGCTAGAAAAAAACCATCATATGGCAATGCCTGGATGGGAAAAATAATTTTTGTATGTACAATCACTGCTAAGAAATTAACATAGGGGAGCATGAGAACAACAGTGGCTGTTACCCCCTACTTCAAAGTTGAATATGCAGTTCCCTTTCCATTGCCTATAATTTTTTTCCAAGTAATACTGGGCTGAATTGTACCGCATGTCTCTGAACACCAAAGAATCTCTCAGCACAACAAGAGGAGGTAATCAACTGCCTCACATCTCCAAAGGCTTCAGTTTTCCATGCTTATTTTAAAAGGGAATATAAACTGGAAGAGTTTCACAAAACAGCATTAAATTAATGAGAAATGGAAATTGTTGGCTTGTGCAAAACAAATAGAAAGGTTGATTATGTATATGTAAAACAAAACACAGACAAGACATAAATACCTTTCTGGTACTACCAGCAATGAAGGACTGGCATTACTTGATTAGGAACAGAGGGTTGTAAGGATAAAAGGCTTAATATTTCCAGCAGAAAAAGCAGGCCCAGCACAAGAAGGTAAGAACACTTTCAAAGGTCTGGATCAGGAAGATGACACAGACTACAGAATAGCTTCTCAGGAACTGACTAAAGTCTTGCTATTTGAGTCATCTAACTTTGGACCATAAAATGAAACAGTGAAGGTAACTTGGCTTCAGGTATTAGAATTTCCTTCCAGGAAAAGCCCAAACTTTTAATTCTTTTCTTTAATGGCTAGAGACCAATCATTGGGTTGGATGGTTTTAGTAAGGTTATTAAAATTGACAGGAAATTGGACAAGCAAGCATGAAAACTATGCGGAAGTCCACAAGCAGGGACTTTGTGGCCTGATTCACTTCATACGCACTTGGTGTGTGACATCTCTCTCTGTTATGTTCATATCTGTTACAATATTCCAAAGTTGCACTAACAGTGAGAAAGATACTGACAATCAAAGAAATAAGTAAAGAAAGAGAGACTGAAAAGAAGTAAAGCTTTCTAAATACAAGTGCCAACAGTAATAAAAATAAGTCATGAAAGGAAAATCTGCTTGTAAATAGGGTATTCTCCAAAGTTAGCACTACAAAAGGGTTTCAATATTTTATTTTTTTCATAGATTCATAGATGCCACCTGGAAAGACCAGCTGGTAAAAATCAAAGGAGCATTAGCAAGGACACCAAAATTGTCACAGCAATACCCACCTAAATTGCAGAGGATTGTACACATTTCATAGCTTAAAACAGACTTGTCTTTGCAAGAAAGGCAGCACAATGATTCTGCATTTCTTATGTGGATTTTATGGTGTGTTACCAGCTAAACATGCTATAAAACAGAAGACTTTCACTTTAAAACTTGTAAACCATGTTTCATAAAAGGTTTTTAATCAATATTTAGAAGTACTCATACAAACACAGGCGCCAGCTTTTTTCCACAAGATCTATGGTGCACCAGTTATAGAGTCTCAATCACTCTTCAGAAACCTAAATTTTCTTTTAAGCCTGGGCCATTATAACTAGAGTCACTGCCAAATCCAGGTCTCATGAATGCACAATACTTTTCACTTTTGGTTAGTCACCATCGCTTCAAGCCAGCATTCCTCTTTTGATGTTGTGCTTGATCAGCTAGTTTTTGCAATGTACTTTTCTCCCTCCGTGAACGTACTAGATAGCGTAACTAAGCTTTTTGCAGGATCCTGCATTCTACAGTCGGCCTTCAGGGACCCTAAGTTTAAGAGTAAGGAAAGAGTAATTAAAAGTGATTAGGACAAGAAGCCTTGATACTATGAAATGTGGACTCAATTGTCCTTGACACAGGCAGAATGAGGCAGCAGGTTTTGGTTTTGATTACAGCTTTACTTGTGATTTTAATAAACATGAGCCAGTATTCAAACTTTTAATATCCTGCTGCTTAACTATTTCCAAAAAGCAATCCAGCTCTTTTAAACAGACCTTGTTTAAAAATTTTAATTTGTTTGGCTCTGTCTCTGCTTAGAGAAGTTGTAGCCTCATGGTAACTCTTTTACAAGTTCATTTCCAGAATCACAGCAATTGGGTTTTTTTCAACTAAGTGTTTCCGCATGTGTCAAAAGTGTCAGGCTGACAGCTTTCCTGCACCATTTTATCTGGTTCCCACAGTAAGTATGAGAGACAAACACAGGAATGTGTCTAGTGCTGACTACGCCCATCAAGAATACAATGATACTTACAGCTCTTCCAGGAAGCGGAGATTGTGCACAGGGTTTGAGGGCAGCTTAGTAATGTTGTTCATACTGAGATCACTGTAGGGGAAAACAGACACAGACTTAATATGGCATGCCACCACTGTGGCATCCAGCTGTTCATTCCACACATTTTTCAGTACTACATTAACAAAAATCAGTTCCTCTGCCAGTATTGATGAATCGTTACCTAGTTAGCACATTAAACATTCTTCTTTTGTATGAACACAGGGTTGTGAAATCAAATACAGTCTGTAGTATGTTCTTCATTTTCAGAGATTTTGGAATGTTTTATCACTCTCTATAAATCATCTGGAACACTAAACAACCCTTTTAGTCAACATAATTTTAATAAACCACTGTACTGTATTAAAATTTACTTGGAGTAGTAAAGAAAAACTACTATGATTTTTGTTGGTTTACTAAAGTAGACAGGCAAAAGCATACCAATACAGACTATCTGCAACATCCTTTATATTTCATGACTATGGAATCACTTTGCCTTTGCTGTACAACATGCTGCATGGTCACACTGATTTGCCTTTCCTCACATCAGGCACATCAGGTGTCCCCAAACCCCAACTTGACTCAAAGAAATGATATATTTTCAAATAATAAACATGCAATTTTTGAGTGCTCTTTTGTTACAGGTACTCAAATTGCATTAAATAAGTGAAATGAACCATAAAACAAGGGTGTAATGTGATCCCGCTCTGTAGCACACTTCCTGCTGGGGTTCCACAGTAGTTCCTGGTACAGGAAACTACTAGCCATATCAGCTCTGTCAGAGCTCATTCAAGCTATGTTTTAGACTAAATTTCATATAATACCTTTTTACTCTTAACTTGCTTTTTCATTGTTTTCCATTGTCTTCCTCATGCCTCACAGTACCATTATAATTGCTTTTCGTTAAGTACAAAACCTGTAAACAGATTGCATAATAAAATTCTGTGTGGAAGATCCAACTTACACGACTATAACAAAATTCCTGTAGTTTCTTAAAATAAAATTAAGAATGACCTGCATATTTTATGCAAATGTTATATAGTGATTTAAAACTCCCCACTATTTAAACGTATCTATGCATTTGTAGCAGTGCTTATAGTTTCCAGCTACTTCAGTTACTATTTAGATAACTTTATTTCTTCCAGCTGTTGAGAGCTTACAAGGTAAATAAGTTATCTGTACTTTGGTGGGTAGGCATCCTATGCCTACTCCATCTAGTTCTTATTATCCACAGTCTGTTTCACATTACAGAATATATGCTTGATATATGTTTGATCGTTTGCTGAATTTTAAAATGTATAATTTAAAAACATACTTCACATAGAGATTCTGAAATAAAGGAAATGTGTTAATACTTTACAACAATTATCAAATCACTGTTGAGTAAGGTCTCTGCATTCACTTCAAAATCAAAGTATAATTTGAGAAATGTGTACTTATTAAATTAATTCTTTACTGTAATACTTTATCACCTAATTCTTTCATACTGTTTAGCAGGTTATTGCCCTTTTACTTTGATAAAGGCTCAAAGGGTTTATTCTGGCAAAGGAACAAAAACATGGATTTATTTGGCAAAAGAAAAACTCATCCAGGTAGTGAAGTACATACTACTGAATATTAAGATAAACCCAATATTTTAACAAGATCATTTTGATTGTGATATTTTCAACACATGTCTTAATGGGGTTTTGGAAACATCCCAAATCACATTTTAGACTTAAAACCCAGTCCTGTTGGAAGATGGGAATGATTCATCTTCAGATACACACATATTTAGAGCATTCTACAAAACCAGCATTAACCAGTGCTCTGGCTGACCAAGAAAACCTGGTTTTCTTGCATATTAATTTCCGTTACTAGCAAGCAGTACTTCTCTGCTTGTATCACCCACAGGACCCCATGATGAACCAGTCAGAAGCAATCTACAGATCAGACCTTAATATCTTAAGAGGATTAGAATAAGAGGAGGTGGCTTTCATTATGTGCTTTGATGCACAAGGAGAAAATCAACAATACGTGCGTTTTTCTTAATAACATCTTTAGACCCTAGAGCTGGATTTGCCAGCAGTGAACTCCTATGTCCTAGTCTCCTTTTTGGACTCAGTCATGTGGTAAAGTATGTGCTCCACATCATATGATGGAGGAGAACCTCTTTCCCAGTGTACACTGCAGCAACTGCTAACTCTTTTTAGTTAAATAATTTCCTTCTGCTACTTTTTTTCTGGTTACTTCTTTTTCAGATTATTTTTTTGGTAGAACACAGCATACAAAGATGTTTTTGTAAAACAAAACTCCTAAACATTACATATGCATATTTCATAGAATCAGAATCATTTAGGTTGGAAAAGACCCTTAAGATCTTTCCAGTCCAGCTGTTCACCCAGCACTGCCATGTTCATCACTAAACCATGTCCCTAAGTGCCACACCTATGCATCTTTTAAATACTTCCAGAGATGGTGGATGCAACAGAAATTATTTCCCAATTTTGATCAACAATGTCTTTTTAAACTAGTTTTTAACACACTTGCAACTAATACACAGGCCATTCCAGTCTATGCTGGCAATGTGCTGCTCTTTTAGCTATAAGGGTTTAAGAATATAAGGGCAACTACTGTAGGGAGAGGTAATACATTTGATGAGCCTAGCTGATAGAGTTGGAAAAACGGAGAAACTTTCAGGTACAAAAATAAAAAATCTCTACTTTTCCCAACTGTATCAGTTGGCTAAACAGGAGGCATTATTTTGCCCTAAAAAACCACACATCCCTTACATTGGAAAGCAGTAGTTCATTTTTTAGATTCAGAATATTCTTTTGGATCAGAATCACCACAGATGCATTTAATCCAATTTTTGCTCACTGAAAGGGAGAGAAGTACCATGACCCAGAGCTACTGCTGGGGGGATGTTTGGAGATGTGAGACAAACAAAAAGGGTTAATGCAAGGCAATCAGTCACTGGGTCTCGTATGAGGAATACTGAAAAATTTGGGCTTCTGAGTAGGAATTCCTCACAGTGCTCTAGAGACAAATAAAGAAGTTTTCAGCATTTTGGTTTGCCAGCATTTTGGACCTTACTCCCAAGAAGACATACCTAGGATGAGATTTATGGCCATTAGCTAGATAAAGCACAGTTAACAGCCAGAAAGAGCTAGATGGTAAATTACAGGATTACACATTATTACTATGAAAACCAGTAACACTTGCAATGGGTATGTCTTATGTCCTGCACCTGCAATGGTTTCTTTCCAAGAAGTGCATCAAACAGGTTTTCTGATTTCTGCTTTCACTGCTAGCCTGCCAAAATCAGCAATTTGCTTTCTCTAGGAAACAGAAGGGGATGAAAGATGGTTTACACGTCAGCATTTGCATTGTAATGCTTAAAAACATTAAAATCAAGGTACTGGATCTTTAACTATCCTCAGTGGAATTGTTCTGGTTTTATACTGGATCTTAGTAAACTCTTACAAACTACAGCAATGAAAAACAGAGAATTATTACATTACTGAAAACCTTTAAATAACTCAGCGTAACAGAACTACTCCTGTCTCCCACCATCAAACCACATACAAACCCCGTTGTTGTCAGTAGGAGCAACACAGTAAGAGTATACCCTGTTTTAAAACGTTCCTAATACAACCAGCAATAGTACCAGATCTACCTTTGTGAAAACTATCTGCACCATGAACTGCCATACTCTACTGAAAAGGCAATACACTGTTTTGAACAGTCAGATGGACATATCATGTGTTCTCCCATCAGCATTCCTGTGGCCTGTTTCCAACTGCTGTCTATAAAAGCAACATACCAGCAAATGCAACTTCATCTTTTCAAAAGATTAGAAGTTTTGTTTCAGTGACTGCATTGGTAACATGGCTCACTATAATGATAATTACATCCTGTACCAATCAATCATCATGCTGTGCCTCTAGTGACTTGCTAAGGGAATCCTATCTATGATGAAATCTTTGAAAAACAGAAAATATTGCAAACTCCAACATGCATCTATCTGTTTTTTCTTGGTGAGCAGATTGGCAAATTCTGAGCGTTTGCAAAACAGCACCCAAGAAGGCGAATACAACAGGTCTTCCCTCTCTGCCCCCCCCGTTTTGTTGTCCATGCATATATGTGCTGAAAAAAACATCCAGCTACCATCTTAATAGTGAGCTCAAAATGAATTCCAGAAAGCCAGTAAAACAAGTTAAGTGAACCAGTTCTTAACACTTAATAGATGAGTTTGGAGGCTGAGTTACTAACCTGTTATTAGCTGTTATTACAAGAAACGTTTCAAGTGACTATTCATCTTGGAAGATCAGTTTTTACGTTATACTCATGTCTTTTAAAGGAGAACAAAAATCTCTCCAGGGATACACACAAAACTTCTACTGGCTTTCATCAACCTGCCAGTCTACTATTAGGCTCAACATCTATTATACTGAATGGTACAAACCTGTCTCCCCATTGCAGGTCTAATACAGTTTTGTAGCCTATTTTCTTAACCATTGCAACCTGTTTGATTTTTAGAAAATGATCAAGACTTATTATTAGGATTACTAATTTTGATTCTTCTAAGCCTGCCTTATCCCAACAAGATGTATTAACAATTATTTTTATGGAAGTCTTTGAAAGATAAAGCACTTTCATAAAATACTGACAATAGACTGAATGTACTCCCTTAGTTACTACCAGCTGAGAACAGTTTCTAAACTATGACAATTTCCTTAATTAATTTACAGCACAATTTGACACTAGCTCACATGTAGTAATACAAAATAGTGAAAACAGGTGCATATTACTTCTGTTCTTCCCCTGTTGTGCCTATCTTTCTAACTCTTGTTTCTACTGTTGGCAGAACAATAGCTCCACTGCACAATGGAAGAATATGTTAGCTTTAACTACATGCCATCTACTAATGCAAATGCTTCATGAGCTTTCATGAAAAATATCTTCATCTGCTACAGCTACTTAAATCTATTTGTCAACACTGTAGTAGTAGTAGTTCCTATTTCTTACAAGTAAATTGCTATAGATGTTTTTGTTTGAGGGTCTCAATAAAT